ACTAATTGATTTATCTGGATTGTTGATTGACAGGGTTGATATTACTCATAAGAATCTGTCGAGTTCTTACTCGCCTATTCAAGCTAACTTAATGCCTATATGTCTATGGAATTAAGTTTAACAAGAATGCATTTACACTTCCTATATCTCAACCGAGCAAGACAATTAAGTATATTTCTATCCTAATTGCGAATCCGTTCCCCGATGTCCGGGTTCAAGAACTTGCTCTATTTAATTCTATATGCAATCTAGAATTCCCACTTTCGAGTTCAACTCTAGATTCGTAGATAGTAATTCACTGTTAGTTACTCAGCAAATTAATTAAAAACAGAATTATATCCATGACCCTAGAATAATAGGGTTCTTGGCCACTCATGTTCGTGCAATCATCAAATAATTCACAAGAGTGCATACNTGTAAGCTCGCTCGATCTAAAATAAATTAGGACTTTTTCATGGTTGTAATGTGGGCTAAGGGAAGTGTAGGATATATTTTAGGAATAGTGACTCAGCCTCCTAAGCACTTTAACACATCATCAAATAACTTAAGCGCAAATTCTTCAACACCATTTCAATTTCACAAATAATATCACCCCCAACAATATTTTCTCTTTCTTTAAGCACTACTTTAATTTATACCCACTAGCAAGAACAAGACAGCAATTTATTCATCTATATTTTTCTTTCTTTCTTTTTTTTGTTTTTTTTTCCGCTAGTGGTGTAGTATTTTACAAAACAAGTGCACCTTTCTTCCTTTCATTGGTTCCACTCAAAAGTCACCCAACACTTAGTCCCTTCTTACTTCTTTTAGTGCTCATCTAACAATTAAAGTGCTTTAAGAGGTAAAAGGATCAAAACAATGTCAATTAAGAATAAAAAGGGTATAGGCTTGTAATGTGGGTACCAAATAAAAGTCAATAGGATCAAAATGGTTAACTAGGGATAGATTTTATTTGTGATAAGCAATAAGCTCAAAAAGATAAAAGAAAGCCTAAAATTATTTTTCAAATCGAGCAATACCTCAAATTTCGCTTCACTCACATACCGGGCAAGTTCTAGACACAAGTACAATACATGGACTACACAAAAACCTCACCACATATGGCACATGACTCACTAAGGACGATCACATTCCGACTCTCAAACAATGCAAGTATTCATGGAGCCACGAGATATTAAGCATTAAGCGCAAAGTGAACACAAGTCAAGAAAACGAGAAATAGTCGTCACAAAACATGCTATCCAATATATATAAAGGCATCAAGATTAATATCAAAATATAGGAGAGATACTACACATGCCAAAGCATAAGTATGTTACTATGAACCAAGTCAAGGGCGCTTAGGTTCATCACTCTTCCTCTTTTTATTTCCTAAATTCCTAATCTATTCTAAAAATAAACAATTACTACCTGGTTCAAAATACATCACATGGAAAAGAACCGAGGCACAAAGAAAAACCACAGGAGATTATTACTACCTAAAGAAAATTTACTAACTACTCAAGGCTACTACTCTATTTTTTCTGTCAATCTCCTAATACTAACACTAAATTTAAAAATCAAATAAAAATCTTTTTGTGTTTTTCTAAGGACCTTAATCCCTCGAGAGAACTGTCCAGGTAGTCTGTTGTCGGAAAAAGTCCTTTATTTTCTACGACTACACACAATAATGAACTGAGAGTTACTCCATATAGATGAATTTACTAACTATTATAGGCCATTAATCCAGTGAATATTACAGCCCTCTAATAGTATCAAAATCAACAAAAATTGTAACAGTTAAGTACATTCATCCACAAGAATAAGAATAACCCCCTACCCCATATTTAAAACCGTGCTTTGCCCCCAATGCACACAAATAACGTAAAGTAGGATGAGAAGAAACTCCCTCAAGTCAAGGTGGAAGGCTCATCCGCAGTCTGTGGAAGAGCATCAGCATCCATGGCATTCATTAAGACCCCCTCCGGCTTGGCAATAGCATCCTCACGAATATGGAGAGCTGTCACAGTCCTATCATCACCAACTAGAGCTGAGTCTGTAGTAGGTGGTACGTCGGCCACAGCAGGCATGGTGTGTGGAGCCTCAGGGACTATATGAGAAGCAGAAGTGGATGGTCCAGCAATGGACGATGCAAGAAGCTGTGAGATGTCTATATCTGCACGTTGAACCAGAGCACGGAGGAGTAATGATACCTCCCTTATCATTGTGGCCTGCTCAGTCTGGACTCGACTTAGATCCGCATGAGTCTGACTCAACTCATCCCTGGTGGCACTCAACTCTACATGAGTCGCTATCAACTCAGCCCTGTTCTCTTGTATATCAGCTTGCATCTGCTCAAACAACTGTTGAATGGTGAGCTTAGAAGACCTTCCCTTGTTCGGCTCTAGTATATGAGTAACATCATATGGTCCTGGAGCTTTAGCCTCAATGTCGTCATTCTCCTTGTCCCATAGTACTCCCATCTCTGTCAAGAAAGCCGATAAGGTATTTGCAAAGAACAACCTCCACTTGTAATTCATCCTGGTGCACTGTATTTGGTCATGCATGATGGCTCCCAAGTTGAGCGGTATCCCCTCCAATAAAGCATACAATACTAGTGCTCGGTGACGAGGGACATCAGTTTTGTGTTGGCATGGCATCAGATGGTTGCATATAAAATTTAGAGCCACACGTGCTAATGCACTCATGAATTCCTTG